AGCAAGCTTGGGTATGACAATAAATTTGTCCTTTCCGGGCTGAGATGGATGCAACGACGCCAAGGCAATGACCCCTTTTGGGTCCAGATGCGAGACATCGTGAAAAACACGATTTTTTTAGCAGATGAACGGCTTAAGAGATCTCTGAGGATACCTCCTGACGACTTCTCCATAGCACGGTTTGTCTTTTTCAGCAACGACGCGTGGACGGCGGTTTCTGGCAAACTCGTTGTTCGGCAACCTGTTGAGTACTGGTTTTCAGCATGAACCTCGACGAGTTCTCCGATACCTGCTTGAAGGCTCCGCGCAGTACCGGCGCGGCAGGAAGGCTATGACTACCTATGTTTTTTTTGGTTCCTCCCTGTATCTGTAAATTTTGCTTGGCCACATACATGCTGTACGGTAGTATGAACATACCCGTATACGTGTGCTCAGGCTGCTGGCCCGGTTTAGGCGTTGAGTAACCGTTTGAATGCCGTGAACGCACGTTCACGTTCAAACGCGCACATTCATACCCCCCGGACCCGCGTTCAATCGTGTTTAAACGCGCTGCGCGCGCGCATGCGAAAAAATTGAACGCAAGCCCGCGGGGCGCACGCGCGCATCGAGGGCTATGGGGTGGTGGCACTCATTTAACAAACCCCAAAAGTGAAAAAAAGAGCCTCTGCGGAGTACCACCACCCCCGCCACAAGTACAGCGTCACCCCCCACCATTGTGTATGTGTGAATGTGTGTGTGTGTGTGTGTGTGTGTGTGTGTGTGTGTGTACGATCCTTCTTTTTTTTTCGGGGGGGTGGGGGAAACCCCCTAACATGGCTCAGACGGCCCATGCAGGCTGTCTGAGGGGTCCTCGCAGCCATGTGGCTCAGACCCGCCGACCCAAATCGAGGAAGGCAGCAAGTATGAGGTAGAGTACGAGCTGGCCGAATTTATGCACACACACACACGTTCAGATCTGTGTTTCAGCAGTTATGGGTTGCTCACGATGCTAGGTCGTGGTGGTCTCAGCACGTACAGCACGTATTCCTAAGGAAAAAGAAAAGGAGAAAAAAAGAAAAACAAGAAAAAGAAAAACAAAAGAAAAGAACGAATCTTCTGCAAAACATGGAATAATACAGTGTCTTTTGTGCATCTGCAGAGTAGAGGCCCTTAGGTCCACTGCACGTATTCCTAAGAAAAGAAAAACGATTTTTCTTTTCTTTTGTTTTTGTTTTTTCTTGTTTTTCTTTTTTCTCGTTTCTCTTGCTTTTCTTAGGAATACGTGCAGTGGCCCTAAGGGCCTCTACTCAGCAGATGCACAAAAGACACTGTATTATTCCATGTTCTGCAGAAGATTCATTCTTTTTTTTTGTTTTTTTTTTTCTTGTTTTTCTCTTTTTCTCCTTTTCTTTTTTTCGTGCAGAGACCACCACGGCCTAGCATCGTGAGCAACCCATAACTGCTGAAATATAGATCTGAACGTGTGTGGGGGGGCATAAATTCAGCCAGCTCGTGCTCTACCTCATACTTGCTGCCTGCCTCGATTTG